TGAACTCGTTGAAGAAGAACCACACATGGGATTTGTGTGATCTCCCACAAGGAAAGAAGGCTCTTCAAAACGAGATGGGTCTATCTGGTCAAGGAGGAATCAGATGGAACAAAACGGTACAAGGCCGGACTTGTAGTAAAGGGATTCCAACAGAGATACGGTATTGACTTTACCGATGTTTTTACACCTGTTGTTAAGTTAACCACTATACGTTTAGTGTTAAGCATCGTAGCGGCGGAAAACTTGGAGTTGCAACGGTTAGATGTGAAGACGGCCTTTCTGCATGGGGATCTCGAGGAGGAAATTTACATGGTGCAACCAGAGGGATATAGAGGAAATGATCGGCAGTGTCTGTCGCCTAAAGAAGAGCTTGTACGGACTGAAACAGGCTCCTCGACAGTGGTACCGAAAATTCGATAATTTCATGCTGGAGATAGGATACTCCAGGTGTAATGCCGATCATTGTTGCTATGTGAAGAAGTTCGGTAACTCTTTCATTATTTTACTCGCTATATGTGGATGACATGCCGATAGCAGGATCGGATGTCAAGGAGATCGAGAGGCTCAAAGATCAGCTATCAAGGAGATTTGATATGAAGGATCTAGGAGAAGCGAGACAGATATCGGGCATGAAAATCACGAGGGACGTAAATGCCTGGTAAACTTTGGCTTTCTCAATTTGATTATATTGAGAAGGTGTTGTGCGGATTCAATATGAATATTGCAAAGTCGGTTCGAGTGCCATTGGGAAGCCAGTTCAAGTTGTCCAACAAGGATTCGCCCCAGGATGACTCGAAAAAGAAAAGATGAGAGTTACGCCGTATGCTTCGACTATCGGGAGCCTAATGTACGCTATGGTCCGCACTCGGCCGGACATAGCACATGCAAGTGGGAGTAGTCGATCGGCTCATGAGCAATCCCGGAGTGATGCACTCGGGAGGCGGTAAAGTGGATCCTTAGGTACCTGAGGGGTACTAAGGACCGGGCATTAGTATTTGGCAGGGGTACCCTTACCCCGTCCGGGTATGTCGATGCTGATTTTGCAGGAAGTGATCTTGACAAGAGGAGGAGTACTACTGGGTACGTATTCACTTACGGCGGGACGACCGTATCCTGGATCTCAAAGCTGCAGAAGATAGTCACATTGTCCACAACGGAAGCTGAGTACGTGGCAGTGACGGAGGCAGCCAAGGAGCTCGTTTGGCTGCAAAACTTCTTGAATGAACTTGGGAGACCTCAAGAGGATGTGGCTCTATACAGCTGATAGCCGAGTGCAATCCATCCGGCAAAGAACCCCGCGTTTCACTCGCGAACGAAGCACATCGAGGTTAAGTATCATTTCATCCGGCAACTTCTAGAGAAGAAGATGCTGCAGCTGAAAAAGGTTCGGGGAGATAGGAATCCTGCAGACATATTGACCAAGGCGGTAACTTTGGAAAAGTTGAAGCTGTGTGTAGCTTCGACTGGCCTTGATGATTAAAACAGGCAGACTTAGCAGAACCAAGAGCAGAGATGAACAGGTTGACCAATCTTCAAGTGGGAGATTGTTGAGGTGTAAAGATCGGTCAAAGATAGGGAACTTCCTCGTAAGTTCCTGGTCAAAGGAAGGCTACTTCCTTGCAACTTCCTGGTCAAAGGAAGGGAGCTTCCTCTCAACTTCCTCTCAAGAAGGATTTGTTTTGCTATAAATACCTCATTTTATAACCTCATTTGTATCCAATCCAAGTGTGAAGAAAGAGTAGAGAGAGTGTATTCATACGGGCTTGTGTGAGTTGTAACATTCGGTTTATCCTCTTATTTTAGTTCATTCTCCTGGCTTGGTTCGCCCCCAGATGTAGGATTTAATCCGAACTGGGTTAACAAATATTCGTGTCTTTTATTGATCTCACATTGGTGTATTATTATTATTCCATCTTATCCGACCTTATTTCCCAACAAAAGTGATATATGGAATATAGGATGATGACACGTAGTATCTTGTTATGTGAAGATCATAGTTTATGGCCAGGATGAGTCCACGTGCCCCCTGAAAGAGGTTTTAAATTAGCTATTTATATCCAATTATTCATGTCGTGCCCTTACGCTATGGCCAAATTTCAGGGTTATATCCCTTACAAGTTACTCCAATAAATTACTTCCTCCGTATTAAATTTTTCAATTTTAACGCATTTAAATAAAAATAATTTTCACTACTCTAGTTGATGATACTTTCTCAAAAATATCAATATGTTTTATTTTTAATAACTTTATTTATCAAGTTCCAAAAAAAAAAAACATTAGAAAAAAAGTTTGAATTTAATCAATAATATTAACTAAGTTTTTGAAGATAAATAATTTCCTTTTAGAAATGAACTGGTGAAAATTTTTAATTTTCTAAAAGACGAAAAATTGATTTTTTTTTATGTATAAAATTATTACGAAATTTAATAGTATGACGTCATTCAAAAGCTATTATCATCGATTTATTATTATTTTAATTAGCATAAAACTAGCTACTTTTGTTTTATATTTATGAAAGAGTTTATATTTCATTTATTCCAGTAAAAAACTCTTTTTATTCATTGAATAGTTCCTTAAGAGCACTAATCAACAAAAATCCACAGTTTGTATTGATAAAGAAACATATTTTTACGTATTTTAGTAAGAAAACTTCACTTTTAATACTTTATAACTAATTACATCCCAATAACTTGTATGGGAGTGCAGTTTTTTTGTATCATGTAATAAATACAAAATATTAATCAAGTAAAAAAAAAAAAACTTAACCACTTTTAATTTAACATCTCTAAGTTATATTACCCTAATTTCTAAAATTGTTCTTTGTGTCTTAAATGATAGTAAAATTTGGCATTTGGGATTTTGAATGCATGTGGGGCTATTATTATGAAGCAGGCACAGGACCCTTTCCATAACGTTGTTGCCTTGTCTTTGGCTATAAAGCACCTTTATTGACGTGATTTTCAGGTCACAAAGGAATAATGGAATACAAGCAATGTTTTTGGCCAAACATGCTTGTCCTCGATACTATTAATGTTTTTTTTTTAATTTAATTTGATCAAATTTAGTTTCATAATTTTAAATTTACTTTAATAAATTAAATTTTTAGTATACTTCAGTTTTAATTAATAGATTTTATCTTAACAAATTGAAGGAAAAATAAAATAAAAATTATATTGATAATGGTTTTTTTTTCAAATTATTATTATTTAGATCTGCGGAGTGTTTCGATTTACCTGAAAATTTAAATTAAATTACATGCCGAATCTTAAACTAATATCACAAAATTTGATGACAATTTTAAAGATTCTAAATATATGTTTAAGACGTGTTTTAATAAATCGTGATAAAAAAGAGAGAGTAAATAGACAATAACAACTTTAAATGCTCTTGTTAATATATTTCTCTCTGGCGGGTATTAAATACATTTTATATTTTCAAGAAATTAAATGTTTTATTAAATGCATTCAGTATTTTCTGTATAAGATAGTAGTAGCAAGATTGATGATAACATTAATATTTTACACCACATTACATAAGAAGGAAAAAAAAAAACACGAGGAGAAAAAATAACCTAAAAAAAATGAATGTCATTAATAGAATTGAATGATCTCAGTTGATTTTAACATGGAATGCTAACTATGGAAATCATGGAGTCAACTAATTGGTCTGAATCAGATTCAGCAAATTCAAAGTGAAGAGAAGAGAAATTTGCGAATTTTAAGTTAAATAAGAAAAAATATTAAATTTGAAATTTACTTTTAGAAATTATTAGGTGGAGGTAGAGTATATTAAAATAAGAGACTCTTTATATTAAATAATACAGTCAGAAATTAATTTCTTAACAATAAAATAAATATAGCACTGGAAAATATCCTTATCAACCAAAGTCAATTACTGTTATTTAAATATATAATTATTATGCTGAACTTTCGAAAATGTAAGTTTAATTTTACTAATATTGATTAGGAAATGTTTTAATAAATGAATTAGTTTCCAAAGTGGTAATTGCATTAAAAGTGAAGCCCATTTGAGTAATCTATCTAGTCTTTGAAACTTACTGTCAGACTCATCCCACGTTCCCGCACTCACATCCATTCCCATTTTGAAAGATCATGCATCACGCTCGTTTCAAATCCACAACTAATTTTATGTAAGAAAAATTATTATATTTAATCTATTGATTTATTATACTATTTTCTTATTTAATTTATTTTGTGAGTTCAAAAAAACAATATTATAATAATACTTTGCCCTGTAAGATCCAAAACGGTCTCCCGAAGGAAGGAATTAAGAATATTGGAAGAGTAGTTAGTTGCGTCGCCAACTCATCGGAAAATTTTGAATTTCTGGGCAAAAGGGCAAAAAAAGGCATCATCATCACCACCAACAGAGACAAGAAGGACAAAGTTAAAAGTTCCTGTTCTGTTTTCAGGAACACGCTCGCGACGTTAAACGTTTCATTCCGTTTTGCAAAGAACAGCAGAGCAACACTTGCAACAGCGAATTTTCCCAAATTGTTGGTGTTCGGTGTCCCTAACCATTTTTTTTTTCTCTTTTTTTTTTTTTAATCTCTCTTTCTCTCTCCCTCTATGAGACTCTGAGGAGGTTTGTTTTTTGTTTCTCGTTCGTAACAACCTCAACCTCCTCATTCAAACCTCGTAACTTTCGCTTTCAGCCATGGAAACCTTCGTCCTTCCTCGATTTGGCAAATGCACCTCTGGAGTTTGTTTTTGAAGGTTGCATTGATTGCTCCAACGACCTTTTTCGTTCTTCTTCTCACCCTTTTCGACCTTATTGTTTTGAACCAACCCAAAGAGAAACAAAAAACATTTTTTTTTTTCCATTTATATCGTCATTTCCCGCGTCAATTCCGAAAGGGGTCGGTGAAATCAGGATATGATATGTTGAAAATTGAAAAATCTCGAGTTGGGTATGAGAGCTTCTGAATTTGAGGGAAACGTTGTGAAATTTGGGTGAATTTTGTTGATTGAGGTTCGAAGATGATGTTATCAGCTTCGATGTCTGCTCTAACGAGGAGTTCGCTGGAGGAGATGCTTGAGTCGCTTCGCAAGAGAGACGAGGAGGAGAGGCCGAAGGACTTGCCGCCGGCATTGCCGTCGCGGCCGCAGTCGAGGGCGCGGTTGCCGTCGGCAAGGAGGATGTTGCCTAATAGCTTCAAGGTTGATGGCGAGAATAATGTGATGGGGCACAGAAGGAAGGGTAGTTTTGGGTGCAAGAAGGTCAAGTTGCATGTGGAATCCCCTTATGAAGTCATAGAAGAGAAAGTGAGTGAACAATCACCACCGTGTGTGGTTCCGACAGTCAATGATTCTTCTACTGATTGTGAAGCTCCTCCTCAGTCTGAGGAGTTGGAGGATGATAATGTTGCTTATTTCATCAAAAAGGTAATTGGGGACTTGAAAATGTTTATGATCATTGATGGTGATAAGTAATAACTGGATGATTAATGGATTGAAGTTTTAACTGCGGTTTTCGGTGTTTTCAAATCCTCAGCTTGTTTTGAGTTAGTCTGCCTTTTTTTGTGAGTTATGTTCTGTAGTTAGAAAATGATGAGTTTGCGGTGTGGATAAAAGCAATCAGCTTGAATGAAATGTGGAAATTGGTGTTTAAAAAAGCTGTACTTGTAACACTGCTGCACAACCTTTTCAGAAATCTAAGTAGAAATAGACTCCACCTATGTTAATTAGATTAGAAATCTGTTTGGTTATTTTTAATTTTTAAATTACATATTGGCTGATTTAGATTCACGTCACAGATTTTATTCGTTTGATGATTCATATTGGCAACACTTATGCATAGGTAAATTGTTTGTGGCATGCATAGCGTACTCTCTGCTCATTTTTCCTTCTGTTTGTTTTCTTTCCCTAAGCCTCCCTACTCGTTGAAAATATTGAAGTTCTTTTTAACTATTTACTTTTGGAGAATGTTTGTTTGCGGCTTTTATCTATTTATATATCAGCACTGAGACATTGTTTATGGCATGTTTTGTCTGTTAAATTTCCTTTCTGATTTTGGTTGTTTTCACAGAAACTTCACGTTTGGTGTAAGCAACCAAAAGGGCAGTGGGAGCTTGGAACGATACAGTCAACATCTGGAGAGGAAGCATCTGTTTCTCTCTCAAATGGAAATGTGAATTTCTAAGCTTTTTTTTTTTTTTCTTTCAAAGGTAGTATTTATTCTTGAATATGCCTAGTAACATGTGATTTGGGCCATTGAGTTGTTACCTGCAGGTTATGAAAGTAGCCAGGTCAGAGCTCCTACCAGCTAATCCTGATATTTTAGAGGGTATTGAAGATCTTATACAGCTCAGTTATTTGAATGAGCCTTCAGTTCTTCACAATCTTCAGTATAGATATACTCAGGATATGATTTATGTAGGTCTGCTGCTTTGGCTTGTTTTTCCTACGCAGGTGATTATTTGTGTTCTCAAGTGCTGCTTGTACTCTTTGTATGCAGAGTAAAGCAGGGCCCATTTTAATTGCACTCAATCCTTTTAAAGATGTCAAAGTTTATGGAAATGATTATGTCTCAGCTTATAGGCAGAAACTTTTGGATAGTCCTCATGTTTATGCTTTGGCAGATGCAGCTTATAATGAGATGATGAATGGTGAATGAAATTACTTTCTATCTCCTTCTTGAAAGCTGTATAATGTAGTGGTCTGATATAAAGTTTTTGTTTTTGCATATTGTACATTGCAGATGAAGCAAATCAGTCTATTATCATAAGGTTAGCACTCAGCACATTAGTCAGTCTATTTATTGCATGCCTTCCAATATATGTTCCTGAACTCAATATCATTAAAATTTTGTAGTAATAAGCCGGTATAACCACTGGTATACTTGTATATCACTGTTTGAATTTTGTTTATAGTGGTGAAAGTGGAGCTGGGAAAACAGAGACTGCCAAAATTGCTATGCAATACTTAGCTGCTCTTGGTGGCGGTTGTTCTGGAATAGAAGATGAAATCCTTCAGACAAATTTTATACTAGAAGCTTTTGGGAATGCAAAAACATCTAGGAATGATAACTCTAGCAGATTTGTGAGTTTGCATTTCATTTCATTGTAGTGGAAGGAACTTACTCCACCTGTTCTTGTTCATTCAAATTTTAGATTTGTAACTTGTGGATGTTATATAATGGCTGATGATATGCATTTTTAACTTGTGCAGGGGAAGTTGATTGAAATTCATTTTAGCGCAATGGGGAAAATTTGTGGGGCAGTAGTTCAAACTTGTAAGATCGCTCTAGTTAAATGTCACATTAAATTAGCCCTTTTCTTATATTTTTTTCTTCTTTTATGAATTACTGGCCTGACCTATTTGTTTGGTTTTGTGTGTCTCATTTAAATTCCCGTATGCTAACTTGAGCAGTTCTGTTAGAAAAGGTAACTTGTGAGGCCCTATTTGAACAAGAGTATGAATCTGAAATATTTATTGTCCTTCACTTCTGAAATCATCTTGTCTCTTGTGGCCAGTCAAGAGTTGTTCAACTTGCCTTGGACGAGAGGTCATATCATATATTTTATCAACTTTGTGCTGGATCTTCACGTGATCTTAAAGGTGCATTTTCCATGCAATCAATCTATTTGTTTTCATACTTGCAGAGATAATCCATTTAAATGACTGTTGACTCTGATTCTCCCAGTATTATCATCTGTAAATATGTCCTCTGCCGTATTAACTTATTTACGAGTTTTAAATGGACTGTTAATTTTATATTGAAATTCATCGACACCAATTTCTGCATGTGAAGTGATAAGTTGCGTTCTCATTATGATAAACCATATGAAATTAATTTCTGTTCCTTTGCAGAAAGACTGAATCTAAGGACGGCTAGCGAATATAAATATCTTAACCAGAGTGACTGCATAACAATCGATGGTGTGAATGATGCTAAAAAATTTAATAGGCTGATGGTATATTATTTTACAGCTCAGTTTATTAACATTAGCTTCTGTAATTTTGTTTACAGACTTCTAAGATCTCATGTCATTTTTTCCTCCTTCTACATGTGTTTTTCCCCAGAAAGCATTGGATGTTATTCGAATGAGCAAAGAGGATCAAGAGCTAGTTTTTAAGATGCTGGCTGCGATATTATGGTTGGGAAATATATCATTCAAAGTTACTGATAATGAAAATCACATTGAGGTGGTGAATGATGAAGGTAACGGTGAAGGTGTTCCATGTGGCCAGCAATATGGTCTAAAAGTCTATATAACACTGAGCTATCCTCCTCCCTTGATTCATTTTGTGTATGACTAACATAGTAACATAAAGGATATATGTAAAATTTCAGTTACTAATTATAAATAATGACTTTTGTTTTTCTTTTCTTTTGGCAGCTGTAACAAATGCTTCTGTGCTAATGGGTTGCAGTTCCCAGGAGCTAATGGCAGCATTATCTACCCATAAAATTCAAGCTGGCAAGGATACTATTACCAAGAAGTTGACCTTGAGTCAGGTCTGACTATTACTCGAAGGATTCAATTGATCTATTTCGTGTTTCCTAATTTTATTATACTATTATATTATTTCCCATTTTTTAATTCTATGTTCAGGCAATTGATGCAAGAGATGCATTAGCAAAATTTATCTATGCAAGATTGTTTAATTGGCTTGTAGAACAAGTTAATAAATCACTTGAAGTGGGTAAACGACGTACTGGGAGATCCATAAGTATCCTTGATATTTATGGATTTGAGTCATTCAAGGTATGCAGTTTGTGTTAACATGCTTATTAATGTTTCATAGACTCTTTCTATGTGTTCTAATTGTTTATTAATTTTCTTTGCAGAATAACAGCTTTGAACAATTTTGTATAAACTATGCCAATGAGAGGCTTCAACAACATTTCAATAGGCATCTGTTTAAACTTGAGCAGGAGGTCAGCAACTACGTTATACTTTATATTGATAAAAAATTGTCATATAATTCCAGGTATTTTATTTGTGTCTAAGGTTCCTGGGTGTTTTGATGCCTGGTATGGTCTTATCTTTCATTCAAAAGCAATAGTGTGATACAAATCTGGGAATATAGTTTGTGTGTATGTGGAAGGTGTTATTACTTCTGTTGTCTTTCAGGAAGGGGGAGGGGGTTGTGAAGACTTTTTTAAAGTTTTGGCCAATATAGTACATGACTTGTAAAAGTAACATGTCAAACTAAAATTTCTCTTAACACAAGGAACATTTGATGTACAAATCATTGCAGTTTAATCCTGAGTTCCTGACTTACCTATCTGAATCAGTGTGTTGTTTACTTCAGTAAATTGCCTGTCACACGATGGAAGAAAACAACCATAATACAACAAAAAACTGGTGTTACATCATACGCTTTGTGTGTGATTTTGGATAGTGTTTGCGTTCTTCATAGCAACATTGCAATTTACATGTTTCAGGAATATGAATTGGATGGCATTGATTGGACCAAAGTAGATTTTGAGGACAACCAAGTGTGTTTGGATCTCTTTGAAAAGGTATTTATATGGTTAAAAAATTCTAAATTTTATAGTTATTCTTTTGCCGATCTGGAAACCAAGCCATTGCTTTGATTTTTGGTGTATTCTTTTTCCCAGAAAGTACCCTTTTTTTACACTACATTTAAAAATCATATCATGTTCAGGTAGTAATGTTTCACAGTATTTTCCATGGCTAGTATTTCATTCTTTAATCTGTTGTACAATGTGCAGAAGCCTCTTGGGCTATTCTCTTTGTTGGACGAGGAATCAAATTTCCCCAGGGCCACTGATCTAACTCTTGCCAATAAACTTAAGCAGCACCTGCACACTAATCCTTGCTTTAAAGAGGAAAGAGGCAGGGCTTTTGGTGTCTGTCATTATGCAGGGGAGGTTAGTGTCAGTTCTTATGGACCTTTGAAAGTTAGTTCCTCTAAAATCTATTGGTTGTGATTTTTAAAACGAAATTGATCAATTTAATTGTGTTCATTTTCAAAATAGTGCACCCAGAGTATTATAGTGTTAAGCATAAACCTACTACATTTGATGTAGTTATACAATAGGAGTAACGTTACTGATAATTAATATCTATCTTTGTAATTTGTCTTGTATGAACTAATATAATCATTTACAGCATGTGTTTTGTAAAGACTCAAGTTTTCTAATATGATTATTTAGTTATTTCTAAAGATAATAGTATATTTCTCTCTTTCTAACACCTTCTAAAGAACTTTGCTTAATTTAGTTTCTTCCATTACTTTCAATTCAATAACAAAGCTAAATGTTGGGTGCTTTATCTTTGACATGAGAAATTTAATGACACAAATATCATTCTGATACACAGTTTTACTTTTAAAGGAAAATGTATTAACCGGAGGTCTTTTGTCCTAGCCTGTTATGAGAAACTCTTGCTTTATAATTTTGTTTTTCCTAGCCTTTCATTCAGGTGTATGTAGAATGAATGCCATAAAAGTCAAATTTGTATGTTTCTGACTCTTCTAATATCTGCTCCTCTATTAGGTTTTGTATGATACAAGTGGCTTCCTAGAAAAGAATAGAGATCCACTACCGTCTGGTTCCATTCAACTACTGTCATCATGTAGCTGTGAACTACTTCAGTTGTTCTCCAAGACGCTTAATCAGCCTCAAAAGCAATCAAACAACTCGTATGGAGGTGCTCTGGACTCACAAAAGCAGAGTGTTGGCACAAAGTTCAAGGTATTCTTGTAGCATTACTTAAACTGGTTAAGCATCTTTAATATTTGGAAAGAAATGATTTCAATGTTGTGACGTAGTCTTCTAAAAATCATATGATGTAGTAACTTTACCTCAATTTTAGGAGTATGCTGTAAGAGAAAAACAATAATTTGAGGAAAAGTAAGCCTAACAAGTCTTTTTCTTTTAGGGTCAATTATTCAAGTTGATGCAGCAGCTGGAGAGCACCACACCACACTTTATTCGCTGTATAAAGACAAATACTAAGCAACTTCCTGGAATATATGATCAAGATCTTGTACTACAACAGCTCAAGTGTTGTGGAGTTTTGGAGGTTGTTAGGATTTCAAGGGCTGGATATCCTACTCGAATGACACATCAAGAATTTTCCAGAAGGTAGTGGTGAACCTCCTTTTTCTAATTTTTTTTTTTTATGGAATAATGGGTTGATTTGTGTTCCGACATATGTTAGGTATGGATTTCTGCTTTGTGAGGCAAACACATCTCCGGACCCATTGAGCATTTCAGTTGCTGTTTTGCAACAGTTTAATATCCCTCCTGAAATGTACCAAGTTGGCTTCACAAAACTGTATCTTCGAACTGGGCAGGTATATTTCAGTAATATAATGTTTTAAAAAACTTTAGAATTTATGTAGCGTATTTATTTGGTTCAACAGCTAAAGAGTGAGATTACTGGGAGCTGGATCACGCTCAGGATGCCAATTGGGTCCATTTTCTATATATCTAATTATATTAATAGATGTAATGATTGGATAATTTTTAGTTAATGCGAAAGTAAGTTGTAGATGTGTTAGTTTGTTCAGAGGAGATAGAGAAGAATTAAGGCAGATTGCTGATAAATAAATAAGAGAGGTTGCGAGAGAGGGATATCTTGTCATATGTGAGAAAGTCAGTTTGTTGGGAGGTAAAGATCCTTGGACTTCTGCAGATACTTAACTATATTCCTGGGAGGTTTTTCCTATCCTTTTAAGATACCTATTCCAGTTTTCTTTTCGTTTTCTCACCAGTTATTAGATATCCCACACTCTCAACCTCTCTTATTTATAGACAATCTACCTTGTTTGTAGATAAATTTTATATTAGTTTACATAATGGTTTGTCTGATTTAAGTTTTCCTGTGTTCTTGTTGATTTTACAGATTGGGGCACTGGAGAACAGGAGAAAACATATTTTGCAGGGAGTAATTGAGATTCAGAGAAGCTTTCGGGGTTATCAAGCTCGCTGTCATTATCATGAGCTTAAGAAGGGAGTGACTACTTTACAATCATGTAATGCATGGCTATCAATACTAGTTTTGTTTGAATTGAATGTTCTCATTTTATTCTAGCTTTCGTTCACATCTTTCTTTATTTTTATGACCATTTATCAAGTAAAATATTTCTATAAAACAGAACTGATTGAAACCAAAATGAAATATTGGTGCTTTTTGCTTCTACTTTTAAATCTAAATTGGAGGACCTTATTGATATGCATTAAGAACTTCAAACACTTAATCCGATGGCTCTAATAGGCAAATTTTTATTGCAAGCGATTGCCTATATAACCTTGGTTATAGTTTGTATCTGTAACTTAATTGCAATTTGGTTATATTGTAGTTGTTCGTGGAGAAATTGGAAGAAGGGAATATGGTGTTATGGTGAAGTCTTCTATGATTATTTCTGCTGAAAATATTAAAGAGATGCAGGCAGCCACAACACTACAATCTGGTTAGTGTCTTTCTGTTGTTAAGCTTGCCCATCCCAGTGGGCTTGCATATGGTTTGCTTATTATTCATTTCCCTTCTATGTAGTAACGCGTGGGTGGCTGGTTCGGAGGGATGCTGATGGCTTGAATAAGTTAAAGAAAAGTCCTGAAAGTGCAAGATCTAGGCGAAGGTCATGTGTGAATTTTCCTGAAGTGAGTGCATGTTTTCTGAAAATTTTTGGACAACTAGTTGATTTGGTTCTTTTCTATTGTTTTATACATTTAATAATACTTGTTAGTTGTTATCCTCTATCCAACTGCATCAATTTGGAGTTTCAAATCTGAAGTATAATTTTCAGTTCATTTTCAACCCATCTTTTAATGCTATTAATGAGACTGATGATGCTATAAAGGTGTTTGATATGCAAAAGCATTAGGCTTTCTAGGAATGTTGAATGTCTAGGTATATGAGAATTCATATCCCCGTTTTTGGTAATATAATTGATTTTTCTTTTCTTTATCCTCAAGAATAAATAATATCTATATTAGGTAGAATATGAAAAGTGTATAACATGAGATACCAATTGAAAGAACAAGACATATTTAATTATTCTGGAACTTTTTCATATTAAATAAATTAAATTTGAGCAACCCTTGTAATTGTTTATTATATTAAGTAGAGATCAAGACATATTTGCTCAAGTGGTTGTTATGATTTAATCGGTAGTCATCGAAGTTCTTCAAACTGTGTCAGCTTTTAGAATTCAATTGCAAGATGTCAAAGAGTTTTCTTTGTACTCTTCTGCCTGTTATATTGTTACACTACACCAGCCCTTTTGCAGAAACATGACTTACTACTCATTTACATGGTGGTCTAAAATTTAAAATCTGTCCATTCCTACCTTTGAGCATATTGTATTGTCTTCGACAGAAAGCATTCAAAGCGTATTTTTCTTTTGGATACAGATTTGTCATGGGTGTGAATCCTGAGCTTCATGATTTTGTAAACTTCGTACTGCTCAATAATCCATAAATATCTTAATTTTTTGGTTTAGCAGGACACGTCAAGTGAGAGGGTCCAGAATCTGCCTTCAGCTTTAGATGAACTCCAAAGGCGGGTTGTCAAGGCTGAAGCTACTATAGAGCAAAGGGAAGAGGAAAATGCTGAACTGAAGGATCAACTGAAACAATTTGAGAGTAGATGGATTGATTACGAGAAAAGGATGAAATCAATGGAGGACGTGTGGCAAAAACAGATGGCATCTTTGCAAGTATGTTTTCAGCTCATAGAAGTCCTCAACTTTGGTGATATACTCATGAATATTATTGTAGTAGACAAAGTTGTTTAACTACCACAATTTAGTTGCCTGTGTCAATTTTAAAGAGAAATTAGCAGGAACTCTTACTTAGAAAGTAATTTTTAATTGTGGATTATGAGTTTATTGCAACCTTATTTACTAAAAAATTTAATACACAAATGGTTTCAAATATAAATTACAATCATATTAAATTTTCTGGTTGCAATTTCAATGCAGACAAGCCTTGCTGCTGCTAGAAAGAGCCTTGCTTCTGAGAATGCCAGCAACCAACATGCAAGACGTGATGTACCATCACCTTTCGGCTATGACTCAGAAGATTCTACTTCCATGGGATCTCGAACACCTGGGGTAAGCACACCTTTGAAGTATTGTGGTAGTCTTTCTGAAGCTGGACGAAGGAGAGATGGTCCTGCCACTTTGGTTTCAGTCAGCCACCTGATGAAGGAATTTGATCAACGCAGACAGACCTTTGATTTTGATGCCAGAGCTCTGGCTGAGGCTAGAGCAGGTCAACCTTGTAACTCGAATTCCATTGAAGAACTTCGGAAACTCAAACATAGGTTTGAGGCGTGGAAGAAAGATTACAAGGCTAGATTAAAAGAAACAAAAGCAAGACTTCAAAAAGTAGCGAATACAGAAATGGATAAAAGGCGGAAATGGTGGGGGAAATTGAGTTCTAAAGCACACTATAGCTAGCATTCAGGTTACAAATATTCTCTTTGCCTAAGGTGAATAAAAGGAGGAAGGTTAAGCAAAATGGTAAAATGATTGATGTCATAAAATGTCTTATTTTAAGAAGTTGCTTCATCTGTACATCTTATGGAATATTTGATAAATGTTACTGTACTAAATGGTGAAGGGGAAAAAAATGTATATCTACCAATTTTGTTACATGGAGGAAGTGGTGTATAGTTGTAGACTTTAGGTTGCATAGGTGTATTAGTAGTGTAGTTTGTTCATGTATATGCTGTTGTTACTGATGTAATGTGAAACTTAGCCTCCAAGATATAAAATAGTAAGTGTTGAATAGAACTAATATATCAGGGGAAAAAGAAATCCATCTGTCAAGGGCTATTTTTGTTTGCATTTTTTGGGTGGTTGTTGCTCTGGTATGTCTTATATTGCATTTTTCTCGATCCTGGTTAAATCAGAGGCGTAAATTGACAGAAGTTCATTTTTGCTCCTGGTTTGATCAAGTTTTCAACTTTTCAGTCTCCTAATTTTATTTTTTGCAATTTTATGTGATTCTCTATTTTTATTTATTTTCAAATGAACTCTTAAATCTTCCTTTTTGTTTATCACATGGTTATAGCTTTTGTTTCCTATTTGATCGTTCTAAACATGATTAGCTTTTGTTTGGGCTTTTTAAATTTCACAAGGTTTTCACTTGATTTTCCACGGGAAAATGGTAATAATGTATAAAGAGAGATCAAGTGAGGGTCTTTAAAATAAGTGGTATAACTATTTGGGAACAAAAATATATTTCATGAAGATTAATACTCGTGTGAAGTCTATTATTGTATATAACTAAATGGTATAACACTTTTTTCAACAACTCATTGGTTCATTTATTATAGCTATTAATTATTTTCTTCAACTCCACATAGCTAAAAAATGTATTCTCAATTAATCTTTGCCATTATCATAGTTTTTTTTGGTAGAATTGTTTTAGAAAGACAAGATGGTGTTTTAAGACAAATGAAAGACTCAAAATTAAAAATGTTTACCAAATAGTTCACATTGACCTTATCTCAGACAAATAAAAGCTCAAATCTTAATCAATCCACTCCAATTCTTCTTTTATCATAAGCTAAGACACATAAAACATCCTAATATTTACAACCAAGAGAGAAAACGAGTGTCATTGTAACGATGAAACGAATTTATAAGGCTTTAAACTTCATCCAGTGAATTGACTGAACAAAAAAAATCATATAAGAATCAACTGTAGGAAAATTAAAAATGTTAAACCAATATATTAAAAAAATAACCATTCAATATCTCGAAAGTTATATAAAAACATTTTATATTTTTCTTCAAGTGATCAAGAAATTACAGAACATTTGATACATGATCATTTCTTATAATAAATCAATATATATATATATATATATATATATATATATATATATATATATATATATTAATAAACTAAAGAATAGTTAATTTGACATTCGAAATTTTTTTAATATTAAATGCATGCATCAGTAATATTATTTTTGTTAAAAGTGACTTGTTTCATCTTTTATATAAGAAACAAATGACCAATTCATCAAAAGTAATAAAAATACTTGATTTTAATTACTAATATAAGATATATAAATTATCTTCTAAAATATCCATTAATTTAATAATTAAAATAATAGTTATATTTAATGTCGGAATTGAAGAGATCATTTAAAATGAACACTAATCCAACAATTATGATTTATGATCATAATCTACATATAAATGACAATAAGCACAAGACATTTAAGATCCAGGAGCAAACTTGGTGGCATAGACCCAAGCATTGTTAGCCACAGGGTTATCAAGGTGGTCCAAGAGGTTCTCCAATGGACCTTTTCCAGTTACAATGGCTTGAACAAAGAACCCAAACATAGAGAACATGGCCAACCTTCCATTCTTGATCTCCTTCACTTTGAGCTCAGCAAAAGTGACTGGGTCATCCGCAAGGCCCAATGGGTCAAAGTACTGGCCCCCAGGGTAGAGGTTGTTGCCCTCTCCAACTCCGTCAAGCCCATTGATGCGGAACCCTTCAACAAGGCCCATCAGAACAACTTGGAAGCCCAGCACTGCCAAGATGCTTTGGGCATGGACAAGGTTTGGGTTCCCCAAATAATCAAGCCCACCTTCGGAGAATATCTGGGCCCCAGCTTTGAACCACACTGGCTCCTTGAATTCCACTCTCAACCACTTCTGCAGCACCTCTGGGGTGATGCAGCCCAGTGCTCCAAGCATGGCCCAACGCCCATGGATGACCTTTTCCCACACAAAAAAAAAAAACTGTGTTATTATTGGGAAAAAATCAAAAGAGTAATAGTCAAAAGAAATTTGCTGCATCATGGATTCTAGAAGATTATTGCTGTAAAAGAGCAGTGGAAGTTTAGAACCTTTTGTACTGTTTGAAAGTAAAATTTGTTATTGTAGATGGTAAATTAGTTTGAAGAATGTTTTGAGAAGGAAACAAAAAATAATGAGAAAGAAGCATCATGGTTGAGTTTGTCTAAGAAGCAACCTCAAGAGCCCTGTTCTTGGCAAATGCTTCTGGGTCAGCAGATAAGCCAGCAGTGTCCCATCCATAATCACCTGGAAATTCTCCCTTCAAGTATGAAGGAGTCTGAGCTGAAAAGGGTCCCAAGTATTTCACTCTGTCTGGTCCATACCACAACTCATTGCTCTGCTTGTTCACAAACACAAACCCAATAACAATGTATCAACCACACAACCAACACCCAAAAAATTTGCAAGAATGAAACAAAAAGTGGAAGAGAAAAAGGGTGTTTGGAGAATGGAGAGTAAGTACCATGGTGTACTTCCCGGTTCCCATGGAGACAACATCCCTAAGAGGGTTGGCACTGGCACCCTTGCCTTGGCCTAGGAAAGGAGTTGGTTTAAGAACAGAGCCAGAAGTTGTTGTAGCTGCCATCAATGTTGCTGCCATGACTTCCTACTTCTAGGTTTGAAACCCTAAGTTACCTTAAAAAAAATGATAACTATTGTTTGCAGAAGTGTGTAGAAGGGTTGAATGTAACATGATATGTAGGGAAAGAGAATAAGAGGGATTTGTGGTTAGAAACACGAGTGGAAGTTGGTGGTGGGGATGGTGTGGTTTGGAGCAACCAATTAGAAGGCTTTAAAGGATTTTATGAATCTCTAACTCATATCTTTCTATCCACATTTTATCTTTCCCCACTATATCTTCTGTCTATATGTATCCAAATATCTCTTCTTTTTAAACCTTATATTTGGAATTAACATTTCTTTTTGTACGGCAACATTTACAATTAGGAAAATTTTATCATGAACTCATCAAATATTCCTTCAATAACCTATTTTAATATAATAATAATAAATTTAAATTTTTTTATTTATTATCATTATATTATTAGATAAATTAATCTAACTCAATTCGCAATCTGTTTAGTTGGATAGAAATTTTTAACACAATTTTATAATAGATCCAACCTTTCTCAAACTGTACTTTAGCCACTTAAAATTAGATCAACTCTGACCTCTTCTATTTGCAGCATATATTTGAAAAATGAATTTAATATGTTCAAAAATTATCTATAAATTTCTGGTCAGACAATTTAACTCTCGAGATAGCGTACGCTGGATAACCAGTTGAATTGAGCATTATGTAAATTCATTTCATAAACTGGGGTATAAAAATTATTTTGATACATTTTTTTTTCCTAAAATTACCCCAAAAATTTTCCCAACAGCTCTACAGAATACAGAAAAATCCACTTTTTTTTCTTTTTTTTTCTTTTTCTGATTCAGTTCGTGATTTTATGTATGGATCAATTAAATATAGAAATTGAACCGATGATCTGTCTATATTTTGTTGCAGTAGTATCTTCGTCAACTTTATTTTAGAGGAAGTTTCCTGGCTAACGTCAAATATTTGTTAAATTATTATTTAATTACGACAGTGATGGGCGATGTTTTCCCTACATAAAATAGACAATTTAAAAACCCAAATATTTAGCTATACTAAATACTTGTTTATGAATATATTTAGGATTTATTGTTAGTTTTCTTCTACGTTTAATTATTAGGTTATCATCAATATCTTCGACTCTTCTAGCTGTTGAAGCTTAATAATAACCGTTAATAATAACTATCATATTTGCGCCACTCCTAGTTTCAGTGACATTTCTAACCTCCACTCTTTTACTATTCATCTAATATAAAATTTTACTTTTACTAAACACTAGATGAAATATCAATATTCTTAGTGTAAATAATCTTCTTTAATAGGTAAAGAGGGTCATTATTTAATGTGGTCCATTAAACCAAATTTATGATTAGACAGAAACTCAAAATCTAATAGAAAATTTAGAACGACCTATAATAAGAATAAAAAGGCTTGATAAGTCTTACAATAAATAGGTTATTAGACTTTGTCTTTTTATATTTTTAGTTTAAATTTTGATTATCAAAATTTGTTTAATAAAAATATGTAAAATGTTGATAAGTCATGTTTAAACTTTAAACATCAAGTAAATTATATTTCACTTATACATGTTAAATATGCTTAAATTATTAAAATTTTATTTTTTTGTTATTAAATTTTCAATTTGTGAAATCTTTATTATCATCTTATTTTTGTAAATTCTATAATTTTTTCTGTTAAATTTTTAAATTAGATCATTTGTTCTATTTAGTATATTTCTAACCTAAAATAAATCTTTTATCCATCCAAAAGAAAAATCATATCATTATCCTCAATTTATAACTTACATTCTAAATTTAATTATTAAATATATATTTATAATTTTAATTCCTTATTTTTTATATTTTCCATCTTTTTATATTTATTTATTATTTATTAATAATATATTATTTAACTTATAATTTTGATTTTTTTATATTTTTACACCTTTTTATATTTATTTATTATTTTATTAATAATATATTATTTAACCTAAAAATCAATAATAAAATTTCTTATTTTTTATATATTTTTACATTTTTTATATTTATTTATTATTTATTAATAATATATTATTTAACTTATAATTTTAATTTTTTTATATTTTTACACCTTTTTATATTTATTTATTATTTTATTAATAATATATTATTTAACCTAAAAATCAATAATAAAATTTCTTATTTTTTATATTTTTTTATATTTTTTTTATTATTTATTAATAATATATTATTTATGCTCAAAATCAATAATACACTTACAATAACTACTATCAAAAATAACATGTAATATTTCTTTATTTCATCTTATAATTTACTACTAAATTATGAATAAACCTTGGCGATCCATATCTACTACTCAGGCATTTTTTTGGCCATTAAATAATCATGCTTTGCTTGAGCACGCGCGTTTTGGTAATTATGTAAATAAATATATGCTCCAACTTCACTTTCTCTTTCAAAAAATACATCTTTCAATTATGCCAAACTGAATGGCATTCTGGTACCTAAAAAGAAAAGAGGGGAAGAAAAAAAAAATAGCAAAATGCATTCAGTATAACAGAAACTGATTGGAAGACTGAAGAACCTATTCTGAAGCAACTGACAGGGTTTGCTTTCGTCTTCATATACCTGGGTCCAAATATCACATTACTTAAGTCCATTCTGCATTCTGCCTAACCGTTGTATCTTCGAATGTCAACAAGACATTATAAGTTAGTTGAGACTTGACAGACTCGCTTAATATTTTATTTGTACAAGGTAGATAACGATTCGACCTATGACAGTATTTATCTTGTCACCAGGACTGTTTACCTTCTTAGAGCTCCATAGCTTTTAGTAACCTAGAAACCAGAGAAAGGGCTCAGTTCCACGAAATCACAACTCCAAACATGTTACGAATCAGTATTAAAAGAAACATGGTTCAACTGACCACTAAGTGAATTGATTTTACGTAATAAGTTAAATTCATATGTGAAAAGTAAATAAATTGATTTGATATAAGGGTGACACATCAAAAGTATCCCAAGTAACTAACTATTTGGTATGTCACAGTCATTACCAACCAACACTCAATCATATTTCAAATCTTTCTGCTCTACTTTCTACAAGTCCTATGGGTAGCATAAAAAGACCGAGTAAAAATGGAAGCGAAAGAATGGACCACCATCTATTCAAACAAAAGTTTTGAATGGAAAATGGTAATTTATATCCCTATCAGAAACAAGTCATGAAATTAATGGGGATACATACCCGAGGTTGTGACTTATTTATTCTCTTTCTGATGTCGTCGTCATCATCATCGTCATCATCATTATTCATCATCATTCTATGGATCGAAGAGATATTTGATTTCCTTCCACGTTTAGAAGACTGTGTGGATCCTCTACCTTTTCCCCTGGAAGCAGCCCTCTTTCGCCCTGGTGGTAGCTTGGATTCATTTTCCTGTGCAATATAAGATGCAGTAGATTCAACTTAATGATTATTAAGCATGTCAAGGATGCTTCAGTGAAAATTTACAATTCATAGCATGCATAAAAATGTCAGGTTTAGTAGGTATCAGACTGGCAAGCACTCAATCAAAGAGCCTAGTCAATTTCAAGGTATTACAAACTGAGGAATACAGTATACAAGGAATTAGCTTGATCTATACCGAACTATCATCAATCTCTTCAACATCATTTTTATCCGCATCATCACTTAAAGCAGAAGCCAAATTATCCTCATTAGCATCACTTTGGATGGCAGTTGCTGCAGCAACTGATGCAGACCTGCATTAAATCAATTAAATCAGGATGAATAACTATCCCCATTGTCATGGCATGATCGGTTGACTACCGAAGTGAGTATATAAACCTATCAATGGGAAAAAACTAATCCTTCATTAAATTATTTTCATGCATGTTCTAAAAAACACCTTTTCCACATAGCCTTGTTCCAAAGAACTCAACAAAGCTACTAACTGATTTATTTATCAGCAAGAAAAGCAACCTTTGAGAAAGGCGAAACCCTAAAGCTCCATCAAGAGTTGTCTGCTTCATGGTGCTGGAACCTCTTCCTCTTCCCCTACCCCTTCCTCTGGTTGTAGTTTGAGATGCACCAGATGACCCTTTCCGACCTCTAGTACTTGGCTTTGAGCTAGATACTGGTAGGGCATGGGTATCTTCATCATCACTGAAGGATACTGCAGTACTTCCAGTTCCAGCAGCACTTCTTCCTTGGAAATCCTACATGGAGTTAGAGAGAAGTTAAGAACTGTTAGATGTATTTTCTAGAAACTTCTAATATATGGGTTTACGTCCAACTTTATATATGTGTGTGTGTGCGCCTGTGTGTTCCTCTGGTGTGCTTCATACACATGAGGGGATTCTATCGTGACTCTATATCATTTCTATCAACAAGAACAAAATACCGATGGTCATAGATGGTAATATTGCCAGCACAAAAACAGCATTCCATCACTATTGCTATAGCAAGTATAATACACATGAAGGTTTACCTTCCATGGTTGAGCACCAGAAGTGGGTTGTGTGGGTTCGTTGGAGTGTGCAGATCTTCCCTTGACACGTTCCTAGAACAAGAGCGATAGCCAACAAACAATCATTCATGAAATTCAAATGTATGTTCCTTCCATCAAACCACTGTCACATGTAAAAAATATAAAGCTCCAACAATTGCAAATACTGCAAACAAATTTCTGATCAACGGAGGTCTGAAGGACATGTGTGCCTAGACTATCTCCAACTGCTATCAAGGCTTTCCCACAAGGCAAAAATTTAAAACCTAAATACATCGGAAATTAATTGATTTCTAAATTAATGAATAATGAACAACAATGATGAAGCTTCTAACCTCCAAGCATTCTCCAACTTTCACAATCAAATCTTCTTCCTCAAACTTCAGGTTATCTGAATCCTTAGCAATTTTATTCTGCTCAAGCATAAAAGTCATCAATGAGAAGGGGAATAACTATGACATAAACAAGAAAATATGGACCAGATGTTACAACATAACAGCATCATAAACAAAAGCAAATGAAAGAGAAATGCAGCATAGAAAATACTCACTCGTGTTTCTTGAATATTGTATTGTACACAAGAGTAAAATGCCATTTTATCATCTTTGTTCACAAAATTTTGCAAAGCAATATCCAAATCATTGACTGGCAGTATCTCCATTTTCTGCAAAACCATTAAAGAGTTTAGATACATTGAAAAAAGAAAAAAATTGAACTAGCATTGCTTTTATATTCATGCTTCTTTTCAATGAAAGCTCAAGTCAGTCCAAAACCCCAAATACCAATAAAATCATCTAGTAAAACTACAAAGCATGGAAACATGCTTAAGCAGTAATTCTTACAAAGTGGTTTAGGCCTAACAAAATCCTATAAAATAGACTTGTAAGATAAAGTTTGCACCCGATTATATACTTAATTTGATTATACTTAAGATTAATAGAAAAAAAATATATCTTCAGGGTTCACGGGACCCTTTTCCCTTTCTTCTATTTATAATGGAAAATCTGATACAATGAGACATAGAAGACTAAGTAAGAGACTGTAACTAAGACCCTAGGTGCAGACCTAGATACAGATGTAGGAAGTTTCCTACACTTAACACCCTATATTTAGGTCTAATGATAATACTAGGAAGTAATGATTCTAACACTCTCCCTCAAGCTGGAGCATACAAATTGTATGAACCAAGCTTGGAACAAATGAACTCAATCTGAGGTCCCCTTAATGACGTGGTCAACACATCTGCAAATTGGTCATTTGACCCAACAAACTCAGTACAAATTTCCTTGGACATTAATTTTTATCGAACAAAATAGCAGTCGATTTCTATGTGTGTTTAGTCCTCTCATGAAACACCAGATTTGATGCAATGTGGAGAGCAGCTTGGTTGTCACAGTACATCTTCATGGTCTGGATTTCACAGAAATTAAGCTCCCGAAGAAATTGCTTTACCCATATAAGTTCACAAGTGAGAGACGTCATTGCCCGATATTCAATTTCAACGGATAATCGGGCTACTACATTTTACTTCTTACTTTTTCATGAGATAACATTTCCTCCAAGGAAAACATAATATCTTGTAGTAGAGCGTCTGTCAATAGGGGAGTCTGCCCAATCAGTATCACAATACCCAGAGACTTGAACATTTCCTTTATCTCCATATAGTAAATCCTGTCCAAGAGCCTTCTTGAGGTACCTTAAAATACGGATGATGGCATTCCAATGTCCAAGATATGGAGTCTGCATAAACTGACTAACCACTCCAACTGCAAAAGATAGATCAAGCCTCGTAATAGTAAGATAAATTAGCTTTCCAACAAGCCGCCTATATCTCTCTAGATCAGAGAATAATTCACCTTCTGTCGTTAGCTTCTGATTTGGGTCCATAGGACTATCTACTGGTCTACAGTCAATCATGTCTGTTTCTTGTAATATATCAAGAGCATACTTCCTTTGAGAGATTACAATTCCATCTTTTGACTGAGCTACTTAAATGCCCAAGAAGTATTTGAGGCTTCCAAGATCCTTGGTTTGAAAATGTCTAAACAAGTACTCCTTTAGTTAGATATTCCAACAATGTCATTTCCTGTAATGACTATATCATCAACATATACTATTTGGTAAACATATTTCCCAAGAGATGTATGACAGTAAAAGACAAAAAGGTCTCCTTCACTACGTCTTAGCCCAAATTTTTGAACAATAGAGCTAAATTTTTCAAACCAAGCACGTGGTGATTGCTTGAGGCCATATAGAGAACGATGCAATTTGCATACTATACCAGACTCCCCCTGAGCAACGAACCCAGGAGGTTGCTCCATGTAAACCTCTTCCTCAAGATCACCATGGAGAGAGGCATTTTTGATATCCGATTGATGAAGTGACTAGTGACAAATGACTGCTATGGCAAAGAAGAGACGAATAGTAGTCATCTTGGCCAAGGGAGAGAAAGTGTCACAATAATCAAGACCATAAACCTGAGTGTATCCTTTTGCAAACAATCGAGCTTTGAGTCGATCAACTTGACCATCAGGGCCAACTTTAACTGCATACACCCATCGGCAACCAACAACCTTCTTACCCGGTGGAAGGGGCACGAGCTTCCAAGTATGACTGTGTTCAAGAGCCTACATCTCTGCAATCATGGCGTGTCGCCATCCAGGATGATCAAGTGTTTCATTCACATTCTTGGGAATAACAACAGAAGATACTGAAGATAAAAGGAAACAATAAGAAGGCGATAATCTGTGATAGCTAAGACAATTATAAATGGGATATGGATTTCGAGTGGAACGAGTACCTTTTCTAAGAGCAATGGGCCAGCCTGAATCACCTTCACCAGGATTTGTGGTATCAAGGGACGAGGGAGAAGTATCTGAAGTAGGGGATTCACCATGTTCTTGGAAAACGGGACTATCTATCTGGGAGGTATGCATAGGTGGAGATGATGGCCCAGGAGGACTTTGATCAAGACTTTGACCATGATTGACAGAGACATTGGAAAGATTGTACTCAACCACTGGAATAGGGAGGCGCTGCTGTATGGCATTCTGAGAAAAATAGATTAACTGAAATATGATTTTTTTATTATATCAATACAAAGAGATGATATAAGATATATACAAGAGACCTAAACTATTTTAGGAAATATAATAACTCTATTTTATGCTAGGAACCCTTGATTTATGGGATTGTTCCTAATTATTCAAATCTGTACAGATTACAAGAAAATATACAAATTTCCTTATTTATTCTTTCCTAAAATACTATTTGATTTCTCACACTCCCCCTCAAGCTGGTGAATAGATGTTTTCCATTCCCAGCTTGGATACAATCTTCTCAAAATTATGGCAGCCCAGTCCCTTGGTAAGAATGTCCGCAATTTGGTCTTGAGAGGACACATATGGAGTGCATATCAAGCCACTATCAAGCTTTTCTTTGATGAAGTGTCTCGTCTACTTCAATATGCTTTGTTCTATCATGCTGCACTTGGGTTGTGGGCTATACTGATTGCTGACTTATTATCACAATAGAGCTTCATAGGTTCTTCCCACTTTATCCTCAAGTCTTCTAAGATGATTTTAAGCCATAGCAACTCACATATACCTTGTGCCATGGCTCGGAATTCTGCTTCAGCATTGGACCGAGCCACTACACCCGCTTTTGCTTCTCCAAGTCACAAGATTTCCTCCAAGAAAGGTGCAATATCCCGTAGTTGACCTCCTATCCACAATTGACCCCGCATAATCGGCATCGAGTATAGGCTTCAAGTTTCACATTACCATTCCTTTTGAATAGAATCCCTTTTCCTGGAGTTCCTTTAAGGTACTGTAAAATTCTGTGGGCAGCTTGTAAATGGGTCTCCTTTGGGCTATGCATAAATTGGCTAATTAAACTCACTGCATAGGCAATATCTGGCCTGGTATGTGACAAATATATAAGTCTGCCCACTAATCTTTGGTACATATCTTTTTCAACAGCAACATCTTCTTCTGCATTTCCAAGCTTTAGGTTTGGTTCTAATGGGGTACTAGCAGGTTTGCAAGCTGCCTTGCCAGTTTCCTTGAGCAAATCAGTGATGTATTTCTGCTGAGATATAAATATCCCTTTCTCGGAGTGGGCAACTTCAATTCCCAAAAAATATTTTAGTTTTCCCAAAGTCTTGATCTCAAATTCCTTGCCTAAGCATTGACTCAATAATTGTTGCTCTTCTTTATTATCTCCAGTTAATATTATGTCATCCACATACACCAATAATATTGTTACTCCCCCTGACTTGGAATGTTTAAAAAACAAAGTATGGTCCCCTTGGCTTTGTTTGTAACCCAGACTTGTCATAACTTTAGTAAACCTGCCAAACCATGCACGGGGGGACTGTTTTAACCCATATAATGCCTTTTTCAACTTGCAAACAGTGTTGGTAGCAACATCTTTACTATATCCCGGAGGTATCTCCATATAGATTTCTTCTTCAAGGTCTCCATGTAGGAAAGCATTCTTAACATCAAATTGTTCCAAGTTCCAACCATAATTGGCAGCAAGGGACAATATCACCCTAACTTGTGTTCATTTTGGCAACCGGAGCAAAGGTCTCCAAATAATCAACTCCATAGGTTTGGGTGAACCCTTTGGCAACTAGTCTTGCCTTATATCTCTCAATTGATCCATCGGCCTTGTATTTCACTCGTATAGACCCATTTACATCCAACCGGCCTCTTTCCTATTGGTAAGGTGACTAACTCCCAAGTGTTGTTTTTCTCCAATGCCTCCATCTCTTCATCCATGGCTTGCCTCCATTTTCTGTCAGACAATGCCTCAGATAGGGTATTAGGTAGAAGTACAGTGTTTAGGTTTACTAGGAAGGTTTTATGGGTAGGAGAGAAATTTTTAAAGGACAAGTAATTTGAGAGAGGGTAGAGTGGCTGTTTGGTGCATTTTCTTGTTCCTTTTCTAATGGCAATTGGGAGGTCAGGATCATTTTGGGTTTCAATTTCAACCTGCACAACTGGAGAAAAAATTGTTACCTCTTTTTGTGGAGTCGAGTTGGATTCTTGAACATGGCTTGATCCTGGAATGGCCTTAGTCTTCCTTGAGTACACCAGCTTCTTACCAAATTTTCCAGTTTCAACATCTTCTTGATCAGCTTCACAATTAATTTCACTTTCTTGACCAACTTCCTTTGCTTGACCAATTCCTTGACTTGTTTCATTTGTTACAACTTCAATTTGATCTTCAATTTGATCTTGTTTAGGTTCAAATATCAAGTCTAGAAGAATGGGAAAACCAGAATTACTACTTTCAATATGATTTCGTTTAGGTTCAAATGTCAAGTCTGGAAGAATGGGAAAACCAGAATCACTACTTTCCTTATCTTCCCTGAAACTCTCCCCTTGAAGATAAGGTTGATGGAAATAGCCCTCTTGTTCATTGAAGGTAACATCCCTAGACACAAAGAATTTTTTGGATGGGGGGTGGTAGCATTTATACCCTTTTTGAGTGGGTGAGTAACCAACAAAGACACACTTTAAGGCTCTAGGATCAAGTTTTCCCCGTCTGCGTACTATGAATATGGACATATGAGATGCACCCAAAAACTCTTGGTTTAAGATTATTTGTAGCGAGACAAGTTTGGATAGAAAGACGACAAAACTTCCATAGGGCTTTTTGATCCTAAGACTCTAGAGGGTAGTCTATTGATAAGGTATGTTGCTGTAAGGACAACTTCCCCCCAGAAATTTTTTTGGACACTTTTTTGGAACAACAATGCCCGAGTCTGATTTAATAGATGTCCATTTTTCCTCTCTGCGACCCCATTCTGTTGTGGTGTTTTGACACAAGAGGACTCATGAATTATACCTTCTTTTTGACAAAAAGAATTAAGGACATGATTGAAGTAATCTTTGACATTATCTGACCTAAGCCTCTTAATATTAACACCAAACTGATTTTTTATCATGGAGTGGAAGTTTAGGAAGACAGAACTGACTTCTGATTTTTGTTTAAGTAGGAAAACCCAAGTGAGCCTTGTACAGTCATCTATAAAGGTGACAAACCATCGAGTACCAGACACATTTGGAATATTAGAAGGTCCCCATACATCAGTATGAACAAGATAAAAAGGGAAATTGCTAATTCTATTACTTATTGGAAAAGATATATGTTTGTGCTTAGCAAGTTCACACACCTCACAATGAAGACTCTCAACATTTAACTTAGTAAACAAAGAGGGAAACATAATTTTGATCACTCCAAAAGAAGGATGTCCCAACCGACAATGATAAAGCATGATTTTTTCTCTATTGGTCATCAAGGATTCAGATATGAAGGAGTGAGAGATTCTATTCTTGCTTGGGCGAGACTTGGATCTTCGAGATAATAAAGGCCATTCCATTCTCTAACATGTCCAATCATCCTCCCCGAATCCTTATCCCGAAATACACAATGATCGTTGGAAAAAACAACTTTACATGACAAATCCTTTATAAGTTTTTGTATAGACACTAGGTTCGTGGACAACTTTGGGACATGGAGAACGTCTTTTAAGGTTATTAAAGGACTGATTTGGATATTTCCTTGACCAGCTGCAGTTATAAGGGTTCCATCTCGCTGTGGCAATTTTCTTGTTGCTTGGGACATGGGGAATATGTGGAGAAGTGTTTGGCTAATGGTGTCATGTGATATGTGGCTCCAGAGTCCAATATCCAATAATGGTTAAAAGGCGTATCCGAGACATTTAATCCAAAAGAAGGTGGAAACTTACCCGAGTATGCCAAAGAACACATACCCGTAGGTTTTTCCGACTTACTAAGAATGGTTTTCACCCTTTCTATCTCCTCTTCCCTTGACATTATAGCAAAAAGGTGCGATGCAACAACAATGCAGGCTGTCGTCTTAGGATTATGAAAAATGCAGCGACGAATGCAGTCGTCGTCTTAGGATTAAGAAAAATGCGGCGGCAATGTAAGTCGCCGTCTTAGGGTTAAGAAAAATGCGAGCAGCAATGCAGTGCTGCCGTCTTAGGGTTACAAAATATGCGGCAGCAATGCGAGGCTTCCGTCTTAGGGTTTATCGAGCGCAAACGAGCTTCCTAGATCGGAAGCTCTGATACCATCTGAGAAAAATAGATTAACTAAAATATGATTTTTTTATTATATCAATACAAAGAGATGATATAAGATATATATAAGAGACTTAAACTATTTTAGGAAATATAATAACTCTATTTTATGCTAGGATCCCTTGATTTATGGGATTGTTCCTAATTATTCAAATATGTACAGATTACAAGGAAATATACAAATTTCCTTATTTATTCTTTCCTAAAATACTATTTGATTTCTCACAGGCATGAACATCTTGAACAGATGGAGAGAAGGGGTCTGTTCAAAGAACGTGACATTTGGCAGACATGTAGTATTTCTTCGTTTCAGGAGAGTAACAACGATACCCTTTCTGAAGATGAGAATAACCCAAGAAGGCACATTTGAGAGAGCGAGCAGAAAGCTTGTCTAACCCTAGAGACATGTCATGAACAAAACATACACAACCAAAAACACGGGGAGAAATGTGGAAAAGAGGATTATCTGAAAACAGAATGGAGACAAGGACCTTATGATTGAGAGAGGATGATGGCATCCGATTAATAAGAAAACATGCAGTTAAGATGACATCTCCCCAATGATAGACTGGAATATGGGCACTAAGCAAAAGTGTACGAGCAGTTTCAACCAAGTGTCTATTTTTCCTTTCTGTTATACCATTTTGCTGTGGCGTATGAGGACAAGTGGACTGATGCAAGATACCATGTGAACTCAAAACAACAGAAAAAACAGATGAAAAGTACTCCTTGTCGTTGTCACTTCTCAAGATTTTGATCACTTGCCCAAATTGATTCTTAATTTCATTTTAAAAGGATGTGAAGATGAATAATACTTCAGAGCAATCTTTCATAAGATAAACCTAAGTACATATCAAAAATTCATTAACGAAAGTAACAAAATACCTAAAACCAAAAGATGAGACACGACTAGGTCCCTAGATATCATAATGGATGATAGAAAAACTAGAATTACCTTTTGATTGAGACCTTTTAGGAAAGGCAGATATAACATGTTTGCCTAGTTGACATGACTCACAATCTAAGGTCTGGAGACTACTAAGTTCAGGATACATTTTTTTTAACTTGGACGGATGAGGGTGGCCAAGCCGATCATGTAACATTTTAGGACTAGGGGCTGCAACACATGACACTCGTGGACGAGATCCAAAATGATATAATCCTCCTGCTTCATATCCTTCTCCAATCTATCTCCCCGAACCACGCTCCTGTATAACAAGATTTGTTATCGAAGGTTACTAAACAGTTTAACATTTTGGTTAACTAGCTTAAGAAAATTAAATTGAAGGGACAATTAGGGACACAAAGGACAGATTTTAGATTTAAGGAGGAAGACAGGATGACTTGACCGATTCCCTTTGAGGAAGTTTTAGAGTTATTTGCAAGGGTTCTAAATTAAGGTTTGTCTTAAAGTGAAATGGTTGAGAACAAGGAGGTATTACCAGAGATGTGGTCAGAAGCACTGGAATCAATTACCTATGAATTGTGACTTTCCATAGATTGAGAGATGCAAGTTGTTGATGTACTTGGAGCTTGAGATGGCTGTGCCAAGTTGTTGGACTTGAATCGTAGGTACTCTTGATACTCGTCCTCAATGAACTTGGGTCCAGTCGTTTCAGCCTGAGAGACCTTGGTTGTTTTGGATGAAAAACCGTGTAAGGAGTAACAGTTTTCCTGGGTGTGACCTATCCTTTTGCAATATGTGCACTGAGGACGCCCACGACCATCACGATCCGGCGAGTGCACAACAGCACGTGAACTGCACGCGCCTGGCTGCAACGGACGGAGATGATGCGCGTGGCGGCGCGTTGCGAGGAGTCTCCCTTCGGCACCGACAGGATTGGCTGTCGCTCAGAGAGGCGGTCCAGATCCGGTGGTTTCCGGACGAAACTCCGGTGGCTGTCGGCTGCGGGCGGCGGCTAACGGCAACGAAGGCGGCGGACAACGACGAAAAGATGCTTGACAGTGTTGGACAGTCCAATAGAGCAGAGGATAGCTTAGATAGTGATAAAACTGAGCTTGGACGGTCGCGGACAGCAGTGGCTAATGGTGGACAGCCGCGGACAGTGGTGACTGATGGTGGTGGACAAGACCAGATTGAAACCAGAGCGAGATCGACCTGCTCTGATACCAACTTAAGATTAATAGAGAAAAAATATATCTTCAGGGCTCACGGGACCCTTCTCCCTTTCTTCTATTTATAATGGAAAATCTAATACAATGAGACATAGAAGACTAAGTAAGAGACTGCAACTAGGACCCTCGGTGCAGACCTAGATATAGATGTAGGAAGTTTCCTACACTCAACACCCTATATTTAGGTCTAATGATAATACTAGGAAGTAATGATTCTAACAATTATATCTTTAATCGATATAGGATTTCCAACGTTATTCATGCTGAGGACTGGACAACTCGAACATGGGACTAGGTATTTATAGGTGGTTCAATAGTGACCCGACAACAAGTCGTATGATAAGTCTAACAAACATTAGTAGGATAGGCTCTGATGTCATCTTAAAAAATACTTACATCTAATTCAACCTTACAAAATCAACTTATAAGATGAAATTTGCACCCACTTATATAATTGAATTTGGACATATATCTAGTTGACGTAGGATCATCAATAGTAATAAATTAAAATTTTCATGAAGTTGCAAATTATGTGAACAAGTATGTAGAGGGATTGAAGTGATCTTTGTTTCTAATGATTATATTTTATTATTGCATACTTTGTTGATAAAGGACATCTTAAACTTTAAATATTACCACCTAATTCAAGTTCTATTGTGAATATATAATATACAATACATAGTCAATGAGTCGCATAAATGAATCCATGTGGCTATTCATTGTTGAAACATGAAGTTTCAATGAAAGCCATAAATGGAAAGACCAAAAGAGTTGAAAGAAAATGAACTTTGAATCAATATTAAAAAGATAAATATGAAGATACAAAGATATGTTCTTATACCCTAGAATATCTACAGTATTTATGGCATAAAGGAATAAATTACTCAAATGATTAAATACCAGATTACTTTCAGCAACTAAAGCCTCTATGTTTTGTTGGTTTAATTCTTCTGGACGAAGACGTTCTGAATCATCAATTTTTCCTACAAAATAAAAGAGGGGTAAGGGTAACTTACCTTATTTGCAATTTTTTAAATGAAAACTGAGATTATCACTGTTTTTCAAATTATGTAACACAAACCAATAAATAAATAAATGTATGCCAATTGACCCAGCTACTGACCTTTTATACTTTTAACAAAGATTGCAAATGTCATGCACATGATTCTTAATATGACCAAAAAACAAAGACAACAGCATTCCTTCAATTTGTCCGTAATGCTGATACTAATATTCTGGTCATAACAAAATCAATAGAAATGAGGTGTAATTCAGGAAAATAAAACTAATGTTTACATGCTCACAACTACTATCTATAAATATCTAACGAAGGTTGATTTTTCCCTTGCCATTTCCTTGTAGAGTAATTGAAAGATATGGAACTTGAGTCCTACATAGGAGAAATGAGATTCTAGTGTGGGGTTCATAAGACCATGAGCTCTGCAATTACAAGGTATAGCTTTTTGTGTAATTCTCCAAAGATTATCATCAATTAGCACTAGAGTTTTCTACCATTTTGCAGCCGCAAAAAAAATAGTGGATTGGACAGTGACATTGGCACTGCAATATTCTCTTGGGACTCCTCAAAGGGTGAGAGCACAGCCAGTCCAGATGGGTGTAGGGGCTACAAAGCATGCTGGTATATTAGGATCCAGTGGCAAGGTATGGGACTTCAGTCCCACATCGGAAGTATGGGATTCTAGTGTGGGATTATAAGGCCTTGAGCTCTACGACTACAACAGCTAGCTTTTGTGGTGTGGTTCTGCAAAGGTTCTTATCATTCTTATTTGGGATGCAAAAAAAAAAAAAAAAAAAAAAAAAAAAACAGTTGCAATCCATATGCAGTATTCTATTGCCAGATCTTATAGAAGCAGACACAGGGCTAACTGGTATTGTTCAAAACAGATCACAAGAGGCCATGAAATGCATGTTGCAGTAACAGCTTTTTCAGGAAGAAAAGGAATAACTACAAAAAACTAAACAAGAAACATAAGTTACAATGTAAAATAAAATTATAACTGTGACTTCCTCATCAGTAAGAGAACTACTAAAAGATGTCCATCTTGGATTTTGTAATTGGCAAATACTATTGATATGAACTGAATTAGTATATAAAGGTAATAAAGATAAGATAACCCAAATTACCTTCAACCTTGGACCTCTTTGTAGCCTTCGAGAAAATGAGAATGTCTTGAGGATTTGCAACCTAGTATAAGGATGACTAATCAACAGTAGAAAACAATCCTCGAGCAAAATCAGTATTGGCACACTAATTCGGGAAAGACATAGGTAGAAATTTACCTTCCCAACATACTTCTGCCCAAATCTTTGAGGATTTATAGTCATAAATCCAGAGTAATCTACCTGTAATTTACATTGAAGGAGTTAAGGTCAGGGCAGAAAACATCATGTAATATCCAAGGCAAGTAGATGTCCATTATAACCAATAGATTGAATAGAAGTTCAAATAAAAATTCCTAATAAACTCTGCATTTTGATGGTATTATGAATCTGACTCTATTCATCAAGATTGGAGATTTATTGGTTCAATAACATGAAAATGACAATGTTTTCTAGAAGAAAGGTGTAAGATCAAAACCAAAAAGATTATTGTTGAAATAAGAGAAGCATAGGCTAAATCTCTATTGTGTATTAAGCACATAGGGTTATCTCTTTATATAGAAGAAAAATACAGATTAAGAAAATAAATGAGTGATATGGGCCTAAGCCCATTATATCTAACAATTATAAAAGCAATTAATTATAGAATTATCTTCTTACTAGGTGAAAAGCAAAATAAAACTGCCATCCAATCAAGATGTGACATTCAAAAGTCATGTTACAGTGTACAAAAATTACCTTGATACGTATTAGTGGAAGCTTGAGTTCTTTTCTATTGACGACCTGCTGACTAGACCTTTCTATCAGTTTCCCAACCTGAACCATCTTCTATTATCAAAACACAGTTGCTATACATATGATCACTGATCCATGTACAAAAATAATTTGAGAAAAATTGAAGTTCCCACAAATTTCAGTGGTCCTGAAACAGATTCTAAAGCAGAGTAGCCAAATTTGTCACTACTAACTAAGATATTACTAAAAGAGTATCCTAACCACTATGCCAAAGAGGAAGAATTCGGTTGAAAGATACCATCGTAGGTCTTTCCCACAAGAAGTTTGAAAGTAACCAAAAGGACACAGCAAGAAAGAAAAATCATCTGATATTAAGAAAACCTACATACCACTTTGTCTAGGTGCTCAAGAATAGAACTTTGATCATTGGGATCAATATCCGGCTCATCTTTTAGTATTACCTGCATTATGAAGATTAGAATGATAATTGAAGAACCATGAGACGGCTTCAAATGGCAACCACTAGATCAATTCAATTTTGCTTCATATAACGTGAAAAATGTAAATAAAGTACATAATAATAATAATAATAATTAGTAAGTACAAAAGAAAACAAAATATTAGTATTTTACCTCACCTCAGTATACTCAAAAGGTCTCACAGATATCAAAGGTATTTTAGTTGGGCGATATTGATTTCCCTGTCAAAAACCATTTATTTAAGCACTTACTAAGACAATAAAATAGAACAATAACTGATGTTGGAGAGAATTAGATTCTCAGTACATGGACAACCTTAATTTCTAGAAGAAGTACATGTTTTGGCTTTGATTCTCCATCAATAAGAGATGTTGCAACTGATGACCCTGGCTGTGAAATGTGAAATCCCATACCTGGAACTTCCTGTGGAAAATTAAAGTCCATATGAATTTTGCAGAACACAACATATATCTATCTGGGTCCATTAAGAAAAGTTGAATCACTACACCTGCGGGTCAACCAAACATTCATGTTCATGGCCCCACACAATGAAGTCTAGGAAGCGTGGCAGGAAGTGCTCATTTATTGCATTTTTCGGATTTGTTTTCACCCTACAGACCATTATTGAAAACAATATAAATAATCACGTAGATTAAAATCTAAAACTTCAATACTGTACATTTCAATTGCAAGCAAGATTAATAATTTCAAAGTCAAAGTTATATTTCAGGATAATCAATACATCTTCATTGATGAGTGATATTAAATGCAACCTCCTAAAACAGAAAAACGAAAGGAAGACAACCTGTTCTGATGAAGTACCAGAATGTTGAACCAATCAGACACTTGACACCCTTCCTGAGATTCAGGTCGCATCCACTGCACAGCATGTGGTGTCTGAAAAAATAAAATAAAAGTAGAAATAAGTAACAGACAACCTCCACATAATAGATGTTCTGCTTCAGTGCAAATTTTACTACTAGCATACTTGAAACATCCTATTAAGCCTTTCATCTCTAATGTTTCCCAGACCATACAGAGCTACAGCTGTTGAACCCTGCAATTCATAAAAATACAGCTTCAAAACATAATGAAATCTTATACCATTCCAGTTTTCTCTTCTTTTATTTCTCCATTATTTTGTCTGAATTGGCTTATTTGGTACTCAAAACAGCTTATAATTAAAATCCTACTGAGAGGTTTTGAGGCCAAAGAAAAACGCTTCCCTGAAAATTAAGCAAAAACAAACATGTACCTAAGAAAAACGAGGGCTTCACTAAATCTACTTTATCCTGATATTAACAGTATTCAACCACAAACCTTCTTGATAAGAATAGGGTGCAGAGTGATCTGACCAACACCAGAACCCCCAAGAACTGTTTTCCCAAAGTAGTTGACTAAGTTACATGCTGAGAGAATATCCACTACCGAAAGGTTATCCTGCCACAATGATTCGATTGCTTTTTTTATCAAAAATGTCAGTAGGAAATCCAACAAGCAAAATAAAGAAAAAAAACATCATCACCAGTTCAAAAGTATACATACAAATTACTTCTTGAAAAAAAATGTAAATAAGGTCTTCCTAGTGTCAAAGTTTAGACATCTTAAATTTAGATTAGGCCTAACTCAACTCCAAAAGCTAGTTCATGAGGTTAGAATTGCCCAAACCTTTCTAAGTTCTGCTTTGGCCTTTCTTATAGTTGAAGTCGGATCTCAAAACACACTCCACGTGATCAATATTATATATCTAGAATGTGGACATTGTCGGACTGATTTTTCATATATCGCATTGGGCCAGTAGCAGGGCTAAATAGATTGCTTTGGGAAAGCTGTGGCCAGGTAGATTTTTGGACAGTTAAGGGTGGCCCAAAATCAATTTTAGAATAGGCTAACTAAACTCTAAAAACTAGCTCACGAAGTGAGTGAGAATCGCCCAAGCCTTTACAAGCTCTACTTCAGCCATATGCATATTCTTAAAAAATGTTTTTGATGTGTAACATTTATCGACCTTATTCTGAATTTATCTTGCCAAAATGCAAAGTACAAGACAAACAACTCTAATCCTTGTGAAAAAACAAACAAACAATTATCACTAGCAACATATCTTCATACCATACCATCTGGTAGCAAAAAAAAAAAATGGTGTGCGACATAGATAAACACTAGTCCAGATACTAGTACTTATGACTTGTATGGAGCTATAACCAGCAAAAGGTACACTAGTATTTCTCAAGTCAACATGGGCAATCCTTGAACTCTTTTGTGATACCATCCTCCCAACAGCCAAGGAAAAAATTAACGAAGTCAAGATCATTCGGTGATTTCTCCAATTCCTCAGTCTATAACGCTCATCCCCTTCCAAATCCTAGGTACTGGAAGTTCATTTTATCCAACCAAAACTCTAAATAAAGACTAAGTAACAAAACCAATGTTGCAAGTAAAACCGAAACACGTTTCAATTTTCAACTACCAAATTACAGCATAAACATCTTGAACATTCGAACACGCCAACTTTCTAAACTGGCAATCAGTTTTAGTAAACACAAAGTAATTCCCGAAATATAACATCTCCTTGTGCTCTTCCTTCTTAATCGAACACATTCTAAATGCTGCAATGAACAAGCAAACCAAGTCAAAACAAAACAAGTCCAAAATCATACCACGCCGGCAGGATCATCATGATTTCCGTGAATAGTAAAAACCGGCAAACCAACATTGAAGTGAGGATCCTCATAGTTCACGTGACCAAACCTGCGGAGCAAGCAACAATCACTCATTCAATCCCTAATAACCTCCACAAACATCTAAGAACCTCACACACATATCAGCGAGAGAGATAGAAAAGCTTACGCGTTCTGGAAATTGAGCGTCTGGTCGCTGACGACTTGGAAGGGGACGGGGCGATCGTTGAGGCAGTAGCGGCGAAGAATCTCGATGGCCTTGACTAGAGTTGACCGGGACGGCTTATTCTCGTGGAATAGGTCGCCGCCGAGGAGCACGAAGTCCACGCCCTGGCGCTCGGCAATGGCGCAAATCTCCTCGAAGGCGTGGAAGGAGTCGTGGCGGCGCACCTCGTCCTTCTCCATGTACCCGAGGTGGCAGTCGGTGGCCACCAGAATGCGAAGCGTGTTCGCGGCGTCGCCGCTCTCCATCATCGGTTAGGCGGTTTTGCTCAAAGGACAACGAATTGCAGTGAGTATCAGTGTGTGAAGAAATTTGGGTGAACGGGACCCAACGTCGTCGTTTAGGCTCCGGCGTTTTGTCAGAATGGGCGGGACCTTCTTTTTTCTTTTTTCTCTTCGTTATTTTATTTTCTGGTTTTGATAAATTTTGTGAAAATCTGAAATTGGAGGAAAAAGTAGAGATAAATTACATATTTTTCTCTTTGCGGTTACGATTTTCAAGCAAATAAATATCTACATTTTTAATTATTTTATTTAAATCCTTCAACGTTATCATTTGTTTAACCTTTAAATATATGTTAATATTATTAATTAAATTACACTTTTTTAAAAAAATTTGAACTAATATAGTTGAAAATGTTATGCACTTTTAACATTAAAATAATATATCTTTCTACATCTAATGCTTATTTGATATTTATTTTACTATATTCATTTAACTAAAATAAAAGACATTAAAAAAAATACCAAAGGACAAAAGCTATGGTCATCATAGGAAAGGATAAAATGAGATATGAAAACTATAATTGTTACTCTGTTGACATGATATAGAAAATGTGAAAAAATCACATTTGAAAGTGGAATCAAACATGTTATAAAATGTAATTTAATTTAAATAATACACAAACTAGTTTATTAATCTCTATGGAATGTTCAAACATAAATTAGTTTAAATAATAAGAAGGCCCAAATCAATGATTATGAACTTTTTCTGAAGCCAGTCCTAATAATATTATTATTATTATTATTATTATTTTCTTATTATTATTATTATTTAATATGTAAAATAATTTTATCAGTAAATTTTAATTCGTCTATTTTTATTATTATTATCGAATTCATAATAATAATAATTTAATATTTAGATATTTTATTGGTAAAATTTAATTTGCCAATCTAATTTTTTATTATTATTAAATTAAGAATTATTATACAAACTTATAAATTCACTTATGAAGATGTTTTATGGATTTACATGTCTACAGATTTTCAAATTCAACCATCTAAAAAAAGTTAGATTTATAATTCTGTAACTTCAAAAAAAAATTATATATATGAGGATTCTTTTTTAATCATTAAATATGAAACAACATTTTTTTTTATACGTATTTTCTTCCCCTCCGTGCCTCAAGTAAAATAACTAAAATATTTTTCTAATAATTTTTGTTTCAAACCTTAAAGACCTTTTTTTTATTTTCCTTTGTATGTTCTACACTCCACTTATATATTCAGTTCTATTATTACCTTTATTTAAGATCATTTTTAACACTTAAAAGTGATCGTTAATATTATGTATTATTACATGTTTCTTTATTACATACTCAGAATCAAATTGCTTAATTTAGAACAATTTTGTGAAAATCAAATCGAGTTCTGGAGCACCTAATTTAAAATATATTTTCTTGAAACAAGTTTTGGAAAATAGGTTCTGGAAGAACAATTAAAAAAAAATCAAAAAACTGTTAAACATATAAGGATTTGATATTTGAATATTTTGATGATGATTCAACAACAAAGGACTTGAAGTCTTGAAGACTCTTAATCATTTGTATTTACTTGTAATAACTATGTTTTATCTTTTTTGAGTCTGTAAAATTAGAATCCAAGATAGTCAGCACATAATTCTTTCTCTGAAAAGTTCATTTTTATCAAAATCACTATGTGATAATCGATTATCACTTAGGATAATCGATTATCCTGCTTGAAATATATTTTCTGAAAAGCTTGCTGGAATAATCGATTATCTGGCTTGATAATCGATTATCCTAGTTGTTTTTGGTTTTTAAAAACTCTGGAATAATCAATTATCTCAGAGAATAATCGATTATCCTGGTCCAGTTTACTCCTCTGCGAAAATGGCTCTGTGATAATCGATTATCACTTAAGATAATCAATTATCTACGTCTGTTATGATTTTTGAATTTCGAATTTGAACCTATTTTCGATGCACCTGTTTCCAATACTCCTATTTTCGAAAACTTCTATTCCCCAGACCCTAAATCTCTCTACATAAGGTTCTCTAAGGCTCTCTGAACAAATAACTTTTTTCATACAAAAGTTAAGAGCTGTGATTGCTAGAAAACTTTGTGTAGGGAAGAAAAAGGGGCTTTTGAAAACCTAGTTTGGGCTAGAAGCGATAAGAATCATTGAGTGAGTTTCTTGGTGGATTGTGTGTTGTGTCATCTCTAGGAAAAGTTGTTGTCATCCTTTGTGGTTTCAAAGGAGGTGTTAATCTCTTGTGTGACTCAGGAGAGATGTTTTCTAATCCTTATCTTTGTGCAATTTGTAATCTGTTGTAACTGTGATTATAGTGACTGCGTTAATCCTCTTTTAGAGTGATTAACAACTGGTCGTAAGGTCTTTTGATCCGAACCAGTATAAATTACATGTGTAATCTTCTTTCCCTTATCTCTTTACTTTACAAGAATTTTAATCGGTAAAATTTGGGAAAAATTTTAAAAACCCTAATTTTTATAACTAAACTAATTCACTCCGCCTCTTGATTTTTGTCCCAACACACAAATATTCCACTGCGCAATACCAACAAGTGGTATCAGAGCTTGCTTTGATAGTTCTTCAAAAATTTTGAAAATGACCGGACAAAATCAAACTTTTGCCGATGGTGCTTCTATCAACATACCCCCACTTTTTGTGGGACAATATTATCCCTTTTGGAAAATTATAATGCAAATATTTTTAGAGTCTATTGACAGGGGTGTTTGGGATGTTGTTGTAAATGGTTTATTTATTCTAATAATGACTGAAAATGAAGTAGAGGTACCTAAACCATTTTCTAGATGAACTGCAGAAGAAAAGAGAAAAACTTAATATGATATTAGGGATATGAATATTATTTCATCTGCTTTAACTTTTGATGAATTTTATAGAATTTCAGTTTGCAAGAGTGCTCAAGAAATGTGTGAAATGTTAAGAGTAACCCATGAAGGTACCGATGATGTTAAAAGAGCAAGGAAAAATTCTTTGATTCAAGAATATGAGATGTTCCGAATGCAACAAGGAGAAACGATCTTTGGAGTTCAAAAGTGTTTCACTCATATTGTCAACCATCTCACTGGGCTTGGTAAAATTTTTTATACTAACGAATTAAATGTCAAAATTTTGAAATCTTTAGACAGGAAATGGTAACCAAAGGTGACTGCCATCACGGAGTCACAAAATCTTGCCACTATGTCAATGGTGACTCTCTTTGGAAAGTTGAGAGAGCATGAACTTGAACATAGAAGACTAAATGATAAGGAAGGCCAAAGTGTCAAAAGAAACATTGCCTTCAAAACCGAGATTTCAAAAAGCAAGAACAAGAAGGAGGAAGAAGCCTCTAAAAATGAAGAAGATGAAAATTTGAGTCTTATGATAAAAAAATTTACAAAGTTCATGAAAGCTAAAGGGAAGCAACCTTTCAAAGGTAAGGGAAAGGTAAAAGAAAGTTCTTCTTTAAGTTTCAAATGTTATGTTGTAGTGAAACAGGACATGTGAAATCCGAATGTCCCAACAAGAAGAGTGATGATCTTAAAGGAAGAAAATCTTATAAAAAGAAAGCCTACATAGCTTGGGATGATAGTGATTCGAGTTTGGAGTCAAGTGATTCGGATGTTGAAGCAAATCTTTGCTTGATGGTAAATGATAGAAATTCTTCCGACTGTGAGGTAAGTGATGTTGTAGTGAAACAGGACATGTGAAATCCGAATGTCCCAACAAGAAGAGTGATGATCTTAAAGGAAGAAAATCTTATAAAAAGAAAGCCTACATAGCTTGGGATGATAGTGATTCGAGTTTGGAGTCAAGTGATTCGGATGTTGAAGCAAATCTTTGCTTGATGGTAAATGATAGAAATTCTTCCGACTGTGAGGTAAGTGATTCCAACTATTCTTCAAGTGATGATGAAAATGACTATGATGCTTTACAAAATGTATATAAAGAACTATCTGCTACTTTTAAAGATTTGAAAACTGAATATAAATCTTTGAAAAAGAATTTGAATAAATCGGAAAAAGAAGTAGAATCTTTAAAATAAAAAATAGTGACTTTAGAAGAAAAAGAAAATAAACAAATAACATGTGCATCATGTAAAGAATATGAATATAATATTGACATACTTAGATACTTACTTGAAAAAGCAAATAAAGAATTAAGTGACTGTTACAAGGATGAAGTTAATGTACAAACTCAAGTAAATTGTCATGTTCCATTGAAAGAGCCTAAAAATAAAAGAACTCATAGGGTATGGAATGTGAAAGGAACTAAAGCTTCACAAAATGGAAGTAAATCCTTTTCAAAAGGTAAATCATCAAATGCATGTTTTTATTGCATGAAACATGGACATACGTCAAATAAATGTAAAATTAAGTATTTTGGTGTTCCAAAGGGAAAATATGTTTGGATTCCTATTGTTAAATAAAGTGATTATTTCTAACCCCAAGGACCCAAAAGTTATATGGAGACCTAAGTTTATTGTTCCCTTATTTTGTAGGAAACTTCCAAATCCAAGAAGTCTATGTGGTATCTTAACAATGGGTGTTCAAGACACATGATTGGAGATAAAAAGAAATTTGTGAGTTTCAAAGCAAAGGAACAAGGATATGTAACCTATGGGGACAACAACAAAGGAAGAATCCTTGGAACCGGAAATATTGGTGGTGCAAATACTTTGGAGATAAAGGATGTGCTCCTTGTTGATGGGCTAAAGCACAATCTCCTAAGTATAAGCCAACTTTGTGATAAAGGATTTAAGGTAGTTTTTGAAAGTAAGTTTTGCACCATACATCTAAAGGATTATGAGGAAATATCATTAAAAGGAATTAGGCATAACAATATCTATTTGATTGTCTTGGATTGAGCATCTAATGTTGATATAACATGCTTGGTTGCTGAAGAAGAAAATCCATGGTTATGGCATAAGAGAGCGACTCATATAAATATGCATCAATTAAACAACCTTATATCAAATGACTTAG